GACACATTTTTTTTTAACTAAAATATAATTGACATATAGCCTTATGTTAGTTTCAAGTATATACCATAATGATTTGATATATATCTGTGTCTGTATCTCTTTAGTCAAATGATGACCACAGTAAATCTAGTTAGCACCTATTTTTGCTTGTTACAACTTGGGATGTGTGATGTTACTTACTTCTAGAGGATAGAGGCCAGGGATGGTACTAAACATCATACAGTGCACAGTGCTGTCTCCTTCATCAGAAAATGATCTCACTTAATATGTCAGTAGTCCTGAGATTAAGAATTCCTGCTCTAAGGCATTTTCATCAGTTGGAGACCAAATTCATTCACTGAGCTAAAGAAATTAATCCCAATTTAAAACTGAGATTCTCTGGCCAAGATTCCATGGGAATTAAGGCTGGGTGATCCAAAGTTAAATGGCATATCAAATTCCTTTCTTTCTTCAGATTAATTTCCCTAAATAACTACCCTGTTGCTCTGTGCCCATGTTGTTGGTGGGTGTTTCTCTGTATTTCTCTCTTTATACATAAGACTATTTTCGAGAACATTCTTAGTTCTTTACCTCCCTCTGAAGTTCCCTCCCGCCTAGTATCTATTTTTCTCCTTTCACAGCAACTAAAGAAAAGTTCTCAGAAAGTATACAACTCCTCAAACAGTAACGTTTAACAGAAAGTGGGACTAATTGGGAAGTATCAGCGTTTTAAGGCCATCTTGGCAAAGTGCTTTTCTGTAGCACGTTATGGTTATTTATCATAAATGAAAATCAGTACATTGCTGAAGACAAGTTATTTTTCAAACTAATTATGACAGTCTTATTTCCTGTTGTGTTTGTTTCTTTTATGTGTGAATCTTCCCCTCTGAAATGTATTTTTATTTTAATTCTGTGGCACATTCTTCTGTTAAAACTCTAGGGTCAGAGGCCAATAACTGCCAGTCACGTTGTTCATTGAGGTTGTTGAATTAGCAGCTCACAGGATCTCACACCATTAAACAAAACGACAAAAACACCCTATGAATATAAGTACCGCAGCTTTCTTTGATATTTGTTCAGAAGGAAAATTCATTTGTATAATCTATCAAGCATGTAACCATGTGCTTTTGATGGTGAAAATTGTTCTATAAATATTAATAGGTGTGTTTTTTCACCCACTTTGTACATAGAATGGCCTTTGTTCAAGTTGAATTTTCTATAGAATTGAAGTGTCATTAATGTGACATTGAAAATCTTAATGTCTGAACCAAGCTCAGCACCTCCAAAAATATATTTTACCATAGTGTATTGTTTTATTAAATGAAAAAGCCAAGGTCTGAGCAAGGAAGTTTATTTTATTGTGCTCTTATTGACATAAACAATCCATTTTTAATCCACCAGTTCTGAAAGTGTTCTTGGAGGGGGTCTTACGGGGGGAAATTAGCATGTAAGAGTCAATCAGTGTTCAGGGATTGATCTGTTCCTTTCGTGCAATCTGCAGGTTTTGGTTTAGTTTGTTTGTTACTCTTTTTTGTTTTCATATTACTGTGATGCACTTTTCTAAGTTTCTCTCTCACCAATACATATATGATACCTGTGTCTATTTTTTTAGTTGTTAAAGTAGGGTATGGATGTGATGCGAACTGGAGCTTAGCTGGGAGTGGCAACCTGTTTCTGTAAAGTGACAGTTAGTAAATATTGGGGAGTTTGGAGACCTTATAGTCTCTATTGCAGCCACTCATCTGCTGTTGTTTTGGGACAGCAACCAGAGAGGTATGTAAATGAATGGTGGTGACTGAATAACAGTAAAGCTGTGGTTACAAAAACAGGCAGTGAACTGGCCTAAGGACTATACTCTACCCCCGTCTGACTTACAGTCTCACTTGGGGCTTTTTTATACCTATCTGTAACCACCCTGACTTTATGCAGAGGTGTGGTGTGATTCAAGCATCACCAAGTCATCTCTTTCAACATCGCCTTTTAAGGAAAATCTCCTTCTCTGTCAGTTCCAAAGCCTGGAATACCAACCATTAAAATCCTTCCTGTGGGAAAAGGGTAAATGTGTACATGTGTAAACTCCAGTAGGCATTAGTTTAGATTTACTCTGAATAGAAGTCTAGGATTATAAGGGAGAGGAACAAGTACAGGTCATTTTCAGTGATAGGAAGAGAAGAGAATCCTATATCCTGGGCTCTAAGGACCTGTCCTGTTTCTGAAGCCCTAAGAAAGCACTGTGCATGTAGAAGATGGCAGTGGTAGTAATAAAAATCACCAGTAAGTGCCAGCTGTTAGTGAGACTAAGTGCTTGCATGCATCCTGCCCTTCCAGCAGCACAAGGCAGTAGAAAATGCTCTGGTCCCACTTGATTGACAAGACCACTGGTCTTAAGAGAGACAATGGCTCCCTGGTTAGGAAGTATGATGGTGGTAATTTCTCCCCAGGTGTTTTTGATACCAGAGTCTACATTAAGTGGTCAAGATCAAGGGGAAACTTTCAAATGAGGTAACATTGTAAGCAGAGATTGTTAGGCTGGAAAGCACTATGTATGTTTGGGACCATTTTAAAAATACTGAGCAGATTTAACAAATATGTGTCTAACAGACTCAAAGGGCCTTATTTCCCCTCTGCCACCACCCTCCCCAGAAAAAATTTAGGTATTAATGATGGCAGTTCAGTTTTGGTTATCTTTCTTTATTCTTGCTTTATTTGCTTCCTGTTTGTCTAGTGTTTTTAACTTCTAAAAGCACTTGGACATATATACACTTGACCTAATTATGTTGTTTACTTTTCTCTACAGAGAGAGAATGTTTGGCAAGGGCCCATTGTAGATACACCCTTTTTTTACCTACAGATAACCCTATCATCCCGCTGTCACTATCTTTAAGTCCTTGGTTAACTCTAAAGTTCTCTCAAGGTGTTCCCCAAACAGTGAACTCATTTCTGTGCTAGGCATACATGCCATACTACAGGAAAAAGAGACTTTTGAAAACCTGATTTTGCAGGCATTTAGCTGAGACTGCTTTCTGAGCTTTGCATACGTACCTATTAATTATACTCTCTCTCAAGTAGCTTGTAGTCTTTGCAAGGAGCAAAGATCAGCCTGGACCTATTTTGATATACTGGTTTATTGATCTTGACCAAGAATTCTGTTATTTGAAACTCTTCACTTAGGAAGTCAATTTCATAGCATTTGCCCATTCATTCTGAACATGTTGGTTCCAAGTAATCTTGCAGTGAGTAATGGAGGAGCTAAAATTGCTAATAAATTAATTAAAGTATGTTTGTAAACCCAGTGGAAAGCCAACAGTGACATTGCTTTCCTACTGATTGTTATACAAGTCATTAATTGCTGAGACAATGCTACTGTAGCAAGCAGAGAACATTGGCCTTTGCTAACTAGGATCCTGTTGTTAAGATTTCTGGAAAGTAATTACTCATTTGCTCTGTATATTCATAGTATGTGGGTAAAGTGGTTGGACATTTTGTGGGAAGACAAAGGACTCAGGCAGACATTAAATTACATATAAGATTGTCCCTTGTCAGTCACTGCTACCTTAAGTACTTTGTGGTTTGGACTTTTATTTATGCTGAGAATTCTTCGATGTTAATATGCCAGTTCTACACGGATTTGTACCAAAATCGTCACTTATTATGGTAAAGAGACTTAAAAAAAACAACCCTCTTTCTGGGGTCTTTAACTCCAGGATCCTACAAGGTAATAATATTTTCTTTTCATAAGAAGCAGGTGGTATTAACAAACCATGGTCATTACTTTCCAGTGTAATGCATATAGGTGATTGTTTTGCTGAAGACTTAGGTGCCTATGAGCAATGCTGGTGGAGAATGAATAATATCTAAATTCATGGTCATAGATCCCTGCCTGTTGATATCCCAAGTGAAGTAGAAGATTATTATGGAGTATCATCCTAGACAATAATTTCTGCTCTAAAGTATGTAATAAAGAGATCAGATCCAAGACACCAGAATTCCATTACTCCCCACCGCATTAGCTCCCTGATTGCACATGAGGAAGATCTACAAGTCAAGGAAAACTATCTGTGGTCCATTCCTGTCACTGAGTAAGTTTCACTGTGTCCCGGGCTCCTCGCCAGTAGGAGAGTTAGAGATTCCTGCCGGCACCAGCGGGTGGAGACGGTGGTGCTAATAATGCCTGGCAGCCTTCCATTGTAACAGACCAGTCTTGGCCGCTAAATGTTTTGTAGCTTGAATCACAAGAATCATAAGATGGTCCTGCTCACATCAAGATCATGGTGTACTTTTAGCAGACCCCAGAGTAAGTATATCAGCAGTCTGGGGAGTGTCTTTTTCCACTTTTCAAATAAGAAGACTGAGGTCCAGCAAGAAAGTAGGTTATTTTTATGAAGGTTACAGAGTTAGTTAAGGATCAAATAAGTTAAAAAATCTAATGATTCTGACTTGGTATTCTTTCCACTAAATCTTCTAGACATATTAGTGAGCATAGTGACTAAATAAAAACTTCATTTTGCAGCATCAGAAGAAGGCTGTAGGAGGACAGCAATATTAAGCATTATTGTCTAGTCTCTCTTTGCATTGACAGGAAAGGTTAACTACTTAAAACAGGAACTGTAATAAAAATTGCAAATCAAAGCTATATTTAGCTATTCCAGTATGTAGCTTTTAAAGAGTGATGGCAACTTATATTGTCATTTCATAGAAACCAACAGATAAAAATTATTATGCTTTTTATTAGAATGTAAGTCCCTTGAAAACAGGGATCATGTCATATTTGTCTTTGTAGCTTTAAAGTTTAAAGATAAAGCCTTAACAGCATCTCCTGTCTGAAGCTTGAGAAAAAATGACAGTATTCGATTTTATTTCTCCTGTATTTTTCAGCCTGGAGAACTCATTGAATTGGCCAAAAAGTTCATTTGAGCCTTTCTGTTACATCTGACGGAAAAACTTGAATGAACTTTTTGGCCAACCCAATAATTGATAGATCCTCAGGAGATATTTATGTATGTTTGTGTTTTCTTTATTAGTTGTCTGTTTTGATGCCAAGATAAATTTTGATGACAATGCAGAATTCCGACAAAAGGATATATTTGCTATGGATGACAAATCAGAGAATGAGCCCATTGAAAATGAAGCTGCCAGATATGATCTAAAATACATAGGACTGGACGGGAACATTGCCTGTTTTGGTAAGAAAGCATTATATCAAAATAATAATTTGTGAATTTTTGCAGAGTTTATAGAGACCCCTGGTTTCTAAAATGTTATTTCCCAATTGCAAGTGAACATATGAGATTTTTGTAGCCAAAAACTCTTAAAAAAAACCCCAAAATTTCTTTCAAAAGTTCATTTTGGCCTGTGGTCACTGGTTTAAAGCAGGGTTTCTCACTTCTTGCCCTATGGACATTTTGGGTGGGAGAATTCTTTGCTGTCAGGCTCTTTCCTTTGCTGCATTGTCACCAGTTGTGACAATCAAAAATGTCTCCAGACATTACCTTCTGGTAAGCAGTCACCCCAGTTCAGGACCAGTATTTTAAAGCATCTCAGTTAAACTTTGACTAGTAAAAGTCAGAACCTTTGCCGAAATTTTATTTAAAATATATTGCTTTCTTAGAGGAAGTTGAAGAGAATGCATGCTTTAATCATTATACTAAAGTTTGAGTTTCTGTGAAAACCAAATGATCAAATGTTTACTCCCTTATGTCAGCTTATTAATAAGACAGTTGATTTTATCATAGTCATCTAAATTTGTGATATTGGCTTATTAGCAGAGATAAGAATGGGTGTAAAGAGGCAATACAATTTCTGTTATTGTCCACAGCATATAATACTGAGATTTATACGCTTCTGTGTTTCTGGTGGAACCAATTCATTGCACTTGAAACAGAGGTCTTAATCTTAATGGAATTAAAATAAAAAAGATTTGTAGCTCATTAAACCAACAGTATCATTATATTCAGAACTGAACAGACCTCATCTAGTAGTTTGCTGTTCATACAATAGAAAATGACATCCAATTATAAGTGATACCAAAAGCTCTTTCTTTATATAGGAGCAAAAACTCTTATGTACTAGATCACTCACATCATTCTTATCTTGATAAGCTAATATGCTTTCAATATTTGTAGGAATTTAGAAAGGGGAAAGATTTAATGGTGTGTTTAGAGCAAATTAAACACATATTCTTTGTAGCCTCTGTAGGAGTATGCATGATTTGGCCAAGGTGGCAGTCTCAAAAGGTAGGATTAATACATTTCACATTGTTTTAAGATCATCTATAAATTATTTTTATATTAGTTGTTCCAGGCTTGCTTAGTTATAGTTCATAGGTATTATCTGAGGAATGCAGAGTCAGAAAACATGAAAGGTACTTTACCTGAAGAGTTTCTATAATGTTCAGGAGGTTGTTTTTTTTTTTTTTTTTTGTGGGAAGGACTGTCTAACTAAGGAAAATAATTTCCTATAATTAGACATAGGGAGCAAAAGAAGTGCAATTGATCAATAAAACTTAGCTCTGGAAAATAAGAATTTTGATGTTAAAACTTGTGTTTTTTTTTTTTTAAAGAAAGCTTTCTAGGATGTTGGCTTATTTTAGCTCTAGTTTTAATGATCAGGTTGTTAGCGAACATTTCTTACATTAATTTGAAATAGTAACAAGGGTTAGGAATATTGTTTTGATGCTGTCATTTGTTCATTTGTTTTCTTCGTTTCTCCAGAGAACACATAAACATGCATAGTTGCACTGAGTGTAAAAACGTGTTTCAGTCCTATTGACGTTGGAACCCCTGTGGTTCAGTCCCCCGAGGGATGCCACATTCAAAGGAACATATTCACAGCAAGCAAAAAATGGGAAAAAATCACATTCTTTACTGAAATCTCTTAAAGAATATTAAAAATGATGTAATTCATAGGCTCTAGCAACTTTTTATAGCCTTTTCCCTCTCTCCCAAATCTCTTAAACTTTATACTGTCTAGAACCTAAAACTCTTCCCTCTACTAATAGTCCAAATTTATTGCTTACTGAGTGAAGCTCTTCGCTTCTTTGTCTTTCCCAGATTGATTTAACTTCTCAATAAATCCTTCTCCCTATTCCTGGGTATTTTTTGTTTATTCTTTGTTCATTTTCTGTTTCTTTATTTTTGAGGTCTATGAATTTATCTGGTTGAATAGAATGTCAAGTAGTCTGGAAACTGGCTTATTAATGTCAGGTTTCTCTTTTAGTAGTATGGAGAAGGGCCAAAGTTTATGTACCCTTTGACGTTGCTGTATTTATCCTGTCTTGTGTACCATTTGCATTTCACAGTTAATGGTGCTGGACTCGCCATGGCTACCTGTGACATCATTTTCCTGAATGGTGGGAAGCCAGCCAACTTCTTGGATCTTGGTGGTGGTGTAAAGGAATCTCAAGTATATCAAGCATTCAAATTACTCACAGCCGATCCTAAGGTAACTTCTCTTTTTGTAGGAGAGGTTGCATGGTGTAATGATTTCTCACCATAACGATCTGCTTTGTACCTGCTGCTGAGGATTAATAAGCCAGCACATGTATAATACTTTCAAGCCCCAGGTACAAATACTGCCTTATATCACACTGGAATTCATGATGGCTTAACTCATCTGGGTAAAAGGCTTATAAGTACCCCTAAGATCTTAATTCAGGGCCTGTGCTTATAAAGTTCTGAGAAGTGGAAGGAAATTTTTTTAAACAGTGTCATGCAAATAAAGAAATATTGGTTGGCATGAAATATTTTTTGTGTGTACTTAACAATGAAGTGATTAGTTCTATGCTTACATGAATTAGAGAGGACTGAGTCTCAGATTCCTTCCTCAAAGGTGCTGAGGTATTATAAGATTAAGACAGAAGAAAATTACAGTGTTATAATATTATGTATTACTGGAAAATGATGACCTCACATCCTTCTATATGCTTTTTAATTTTCATCTCTAATGATTACATGTGTTACAGCTTGTATCATATGCTCTAGGTACATATAATGTTATTCCATGGGTATCTTTTCTTCTTAACTAGAATGTAGCTGTCATGCTAGGCACATAGTAGGTATTTGGTAAATACTTAATCAGTTTAAAGACCAGTATGATTTGCATCCATTGTAGATATTTAGTTGTCTATGATAAGATTTAGGTGGATATCATTATATAGAAAGACTAATATTTTTCAAATATGTATTCAAATGTTGTCTGAACTTAATATGGAAACTTCCCATCCATAAGTAGACTGGCATTTTGGGCCTCCTGTGTATGCAGTTTTGTCTTAGGTTGGTGGTATGCTTGTCTGTTTTCATTATGACTTAGTTGGTAACCTTACATTTTTGCTAAATCTTTTTCTTATAATTAACACACACACACATAAAATGGTTAAACATTATCAGCAACTTATCTTCATTTCTGCATTGCTGTTCAGAAATAGCAAAGTGACTGAAGTCCAGAGTCACTCAGCCATGAATTGTCCACAGGTGATTTTTCTGTTAACAGAAGCGGCTTGTTTTCATTGGTTAAGTAGGGACATTATCAGAGGCTCCCTAATCATTTATGAATTCATTTATCCCTCTTTTCTACTCCTTTCTAAGGGAAGAATCATTTTTATCCCAGAGATTTTCAAAGCAATTGAAATCTGTAAATACCATGTACATAGTACACAGCTCTTTCAACTGCTTGAACCACAAAATACCCAGAGGACAAGCAACTGTAATAAAATACTGCACATTTAGTGTTGACTGAAATTCAGTGCTGAGCTTTAAAGAGAGCCAGGAAGGATTAGATCTACCAGGACAATCATATTGCATTTTCTTTAGAGAATCTTTTCTTAGTGGGTGATCCTGAATTTTAATTTTCTTAAAGTACAGGAAGGGAATGAAAATCACTTGGAAAGTCTTTTTTTTTTTTTAAACAATCTCTTAAAAAATGTTGACTCTTCCTATTTTCAAGTGCTGGGAGTATTTAAACTTTTTTGAGATTGGCTGTCATCTTGGGTAGATAAAGGTATGTGGGAGTTATTTTATTTTTCTCATGCTATATCAGGAAAATGAATGCTTGGCTCATCTCACAGTACATTTTCCAAATCTTGAAATTTCAAAGTCAGTTAAAAAGCATAGAAATGTAATGGGTATTTTCAATCCTGGCGTTGTTTCACAGATTTCAGGGAACAGAGGCTAAAAAATAGTATAGATGAATTGATTGGATCTTGCAAGGAAACTGGTTGTAATTCTGGCAGTAATTATTTCAAGTAGAACCCCATCCGGTTGCTCAGAACTAGAGATTCCCCAGAGCCCAAAGCTAATTATTTCAAAGGTATTGATTTTCTTGTTAGATATAAGGATTAGTCAGTTGAATACACTAAAACTAAAAATAACAGAAGGCCCATTGTTGTTGAACTTAAATCAAGTGATAGTAGCAACTGCTTGTTTGTTATGTGTACAAGCTAATTCTATTGATCAAGTAATAAACATGCTCATTCAAGAAAAATATTATGCATTGACATATATTTCTACTCATGATGTCTGCCATGGAGCTGAGACTTAACATTTATTTCGCTTGACTTTTATGCTGTTTTTCATTGGGACCTAACACAAGTACCTTTATAACTAATGTGTCCCTTTTTTGTTTGTAATATATGTAGAGTGAAGTTCCTGTGCCAAACTGTTTAAAACAAGAATTTTTCCAAGATAGCACACTTTCTAAACTGGATTCCCATGAAAAGTATCATTAAATATTTTATAATTCTCTTATTTTCCAGCTGGGCTTGAGATGAGAGAAAGGTAATAGAGTTTGTTCTGCTGGTGGTGGAATAGATATGATCTCACCCTCATCATTTTAACTTATAAGATTCTAAACACAGGTGTTCTTAAAGTCATAGGGAGTAAAATTGTTTTAGAAAGTAGAAGTAGGATTCTGTGCCAGTCTATCTATAAAGAATTTGAGCACATTGAAAGGAGAAGTACTACTATCAAGAATGTTAGCATTATGTTTTTATTTTCCTGAGTTGTGCTTTTGACTTTTGTTTTTAATTTTGAAGTTAGAATTCCAAAGGTATAGAAAATGAGTACAACATCATGTGGAGTATGTAGAACATGTTGCATAAATGAATTAAAGGAAAAGATGGTTGATATGAATCTCAACAGTAACTCTGCTCTGTTGTCCAAGGTTAAGCCAGTCTATTGCCCTCTGGAGGTCTGATTTTGAAAAGCAGTAGCTTATGACTTGAGAAGTCCGTTCTCTTGATTTGACTGTGCTTCCTGGTTTAGGTCCAAAGTAGAGTCCAATTTTCAAAGCCTTTTAGGAAGGAAATGTGCTATGTAAGTACCAAATACTTGGAAGAGATTCTTAGTGGGGCTCAGGTGCCAGGCAGCCTGGGTTCTAATTCTGTCTTTAACATGTGTTGACTGTGGCACCTTGGGCGTGTCATGTAACTTTTATGTGTCTTGGTTTCCTATTTTATAAAATGGAGATAGTAATAGTACTTATTATTACCTCAGAGAGTTACTTCATTGTATGAATTGAGATACGTATATTTCCCATTTAAAGGGCAATGATTTCACGTGGCAGTACTGTCTAAAAATTTTAATAAACTTTTATTAAAATATAGCTTTCATAAAGAACACTGTACAAATTGTAAGTATATAGTTCAATGAATTATGACAAAGTGAACATATTTGTGGATCCTCTGATCACATCAAGATATAGGACATTCCCAGTGTTATGGATTGAGTATGTTTTCTCATAATTTATATGTTAAAATCCTACCCCTCAGTGTGATGGTGTGAAGAGGTGAGGCCTTTGGGCTGTAATTATATCATGAGAATAGACCCTTCATGGGTGGGATTAGTGCCCTTATGAAAGAGATTCCCAGAGAGCTCTCTCACCCCTTCCACGGTGTGAGGACATTGCTGGAAGATGGCCACCTGTGTACTAATTAGCGGCCACTGAATGTGCTGGTGAGTTGATCTTGGACTTGCCAGCTTCCAGAAATGGGAGAAATGAATGCTTTTTACCACCAACTACCCAGTCTGTGGTAGTTGGTCACAGCAGTTTGAATGCCCTAGGACCGTCACCGTCCCAGCGTTGCTTTATGCCTCTGCACTATCTCCCTCAACCCTGCTTTCTTCCCAAAGCTAATACTCTCCTAACTTCTACTATCAAAGATTTGTATTGCCTGGTTTTGAGCATAATACAAGTGGAATCATACAATGTATATACTTTTGTATTTGTCATCTTTCATTTGACTTTTTATCAGATTCAACCATATTTTATGTAGCAGCAGTTCACTTACCCTTATTGCTGTGTAGTATTCTATTGTATAACTTGACAAGAGCTTTTGTATGTCATCTTCTATTGATAGACATTTGTGTGATTCTCATTTTTTACTACTATGAATAATGTTGCTATGAACATAACCATACATGCCATTTGGAGCATATTTTTGTGGTGTATATGCTTGGATATAGAATTTGTGGGCAATAGGGTAATGTATATACTCAGTTTGAGTGATACTACCAAACAGTTTTCTAAATATGCCAATTTACATTTTGATAGGCATGTGTGGGAAGCCCAGTTTTTCCACACCCTCACGAATATTTTTGTTATTCTGGTAGACATGTGGTAGTATTTATTGTGGTTTAATGCCGTTCCCTCATAACTAATCAGGATGAACACCTTTTCATGTGTTTATTAGTGATGTGAATATACTCTTTCAATTTCTGTCACCTCATGAATAAAGTAGACATGAAAATAATACCCCAATGCATTGTTTTATTATCATTTAAGATACATGTAAAGTACTTGGCAAACCTTTCTAAAGCATGATGAAAACTTTAGTTTGTGTGCCCTTTTCTTTAGTGTTTATTTTGATTATCATTTAAAGGCTTAGATTTAGAATTATTGAAACAGTGGGGAATAAATGGTTGTCTGCAGAAATGGGAGCTGTCTGAAGCAGTTCATTGATACCAGTGTTACTGTCTGGGTTGTTTTGAAATTGATGAAATGTGTAAGCAGTTTCAGTAGTGTGCAGTGATTCTCCCTCCAGACAGCCAAGGAAACACAGTTTAATAAAGGGAGGATTAAATTCATATTTTGGGAGAACCACAAAATACAATTTGTTTTAAATTTGAGGAAAGGCCGGCTGGTTTAACTCTGTGGTAAGTACTTGAAAAGTCTTTAGAATTTGAGGCCAAGGACGTAAAACTGCGTGCTGTATTTTTGATAAGGGGTTTGTGCAAATGCCATGAGTTGTAGTAAGTATATTTTGAAATTAATAACATACTAAATGCCTCATATATTGTTAATTATCATACAATTAGAGTTTATTTAAAAGCAAAACAAAATCCTCTTTTCCCCTAAATACATGCTTATATCAAAGGCATGAAACAAAACTCATTTTATCATATACCACATGTATTTGCTGAAATGCCTCATCTGCAAGGGAATATTTC